GATCATCCCTTCCACTCCAGTTGATCCAAGATCTCAGTGTCTAATAACATTTGTCAGCATATAGAGCTATATGTTTAAGTTGCTAGTTGTTTCTCATTGTCCATCTGGCCAATGCTATTGGAAGTTTTAATTCATTATTAAAAGGCTATGAGATTCTCATCTTTACATAAGATACCCAATGAAGAATAACTAATTATCTTCTTTCAGTTTACCCAATCTCTAACCTTTGATTCAACTGCTTCCTATCATGCAAGGGTGAACATATTGTCCTACAGATATTTAAGATGATCCATCTGCCAGTAGTTGTTAGTTAGCCAGTATAGCTGTTAGTGATTGGAAATTGTAAAACTTGTATTTCCAATTATCTGGAGGGCGCCAGATTTTAAAATGGTGGTTTGGGACAACTATTTCAGATTTGCAATTCCTATACTTCTTTTTTGTACAGTCCTCTCATATATCATGTATGAACTCTAGCGGAAATTTTAATTCAAATGAGAAGTCCCTGGAGTTTTCAGATGCATCTATTGGCAGTTCAGGGAATTACTCCTATCAGTATATCACACTTGAAGCCAATTGCACAGTTTAAAGCTTGATTGCAGAATTTAAAGCTATCAGGAATAGACATTCCCAAATGATTCCTGGCACTTCACAATCGGTGGCACAAGGAGCAACAAAGCAATATGCTAATGTCAGGCCAGAATACGGTCTATTTCAAATGGTGTTCATCTTAACCACCAGCAGCAGGCAAGCAATGCGATGGAAATTTAGTTAATTGCAGCTTTGTCATTTGCTGGTCTTCTCTTAGTCTGCAATGATTTTATTTCAGCTGTTGTTGACTAATGTGACCTACTTTACAAAGTGCGTTTTTACTGGTGCAATTTCAAAGTGATGGGAACATGTGATATAATTTGGCCACGTGCAAAAAACGTGATTTCCAACATTCCAGGAATTAAACAGAATCACACATTAATAGAAAACAGGCCTATTAAATTATAAGAGTTGATAGGAAGCATCATCATAAAGTCATTACAAATGTAAAGAAAAAATGTGCATACAGACCATTTTCCCAGAGTTGCTGCACTTGTACTAGCTAACACAACTGAATTAGTAATTCTTTCTTAATGAGTCTTTTGTAATGAACCATCATTTAGAAATATTTCATATATTTTTGGTCCTTTACATATTGCTTGACTTTGCTCTGCTGGCTTGGAGTAATTGGACTTGACATTCAGAGAGCTAAAGGGTCCACTTCCACTTCTTTTAAAAGAATTGAGTTTCAGCACAGCAGTCAAAGAAGTGAGATCCATGTGTGGAACAACTTTATATATAGTTCAGCTTTATTTCCCACTGAACTAAATCCAAACAGAAAGGTCATGGCAAGGAAGTATATGTGTGTGACTAAAGCCTTCAATTAGAAGTGGTATTCACTACCCACATGTTGACATTATATGTTTCCCTTCTCACCTTAAAATAGCAAGACAATTTATAAACTAACCACTGCAAGATTACAATTCCATCAGATGGCACTTTGGTTGTTTTTGCTAATGATTTAATTTACATAGATAAACTAGACCACCAAACTCATACTTTCAAATCCCGAGGACCACTAATACGATTTTTTTTTTAAATCTAATATATTTAATATAATTTTTTATGTTAAATACACACACACACACACACACACACACACTTATTTAATTATAACAAAAATGTAAATGCTTAATGATAACAAAATAAAACTTCAGGGCTGGCACCTTCCAAAGAGACAGAAGAGCGGTCGGGGTGTGTGTGTGTGTGTGTGTCTGAGCTGAGGGGCCTGGGGCCACTGCCGCTGGGAGAAGCAGAGGCAGAAAGGGGGCTTTGCTCTCCTTGGGGGGCAGCGCCCCTTGGCTGCCACTCCAGGGGCTTCTCAGCAGGCATGTGCCTGCAGAAGGACTGCCACTCTTGGTGATTAATTGGGGGAGGGGAGTGGGACAAAGTGGGAGCTCCTTTCAGATCCCGGGTGGAGGATTGAGAGGCTCAGATCTGCAGCTGAGGAAAAGTGTCACCTGGAGACAGGCAAGGAAAGGTGTCCCTGGGGGCACTTCGCTGCCAAACCCAGGCACAGCCAGTGATTATTTGGGGTGGGGGGTGGGGGAGAGAAAGCATCTCTCGCATTACCAGGGGAGGAAAGGAGACGAAACAAAGCTCACTCTTTCACTGAGACCTACAAAACGCCAATCTACCGTGTTCCAGGAGTTTTTCGAAATCATTCAATGCTCCCACTTGCAGTTCCCATGCCTCCTGGCTCAGATCCCTGAGATGCACGCTCCCACACACGGCTGGTGGTGGCAACAACAGTCCCCTCCCCCCAGTGCCCGCTGTCAGCTCTCCCCATTAGTTTTCTAGCTTTGCCCCGCCCCCGGCCCCTCCCCCCCCCCCCCCCCCCCCCCGTGCAGGCAGGAAAGGAAAGGGAGATGGAGCCGTGCACAGCTCTCTCCCCCTTTCCAGCCCTTGCTGCCTCTTCCAACATCGAAGCCTCAGAAATGCAGGCAAAGCCGCCACAGCGGTAGCACCCTCAGTTGCTTGCTTTTCAACTACTGTCTTCTCCTCCTCCAGCACCACCTCCTTCTCTGGGTAGGGCGATTCTTCACTAACCGAGCATTCTAAGGCAACTCAGGACGCTACCACTGAGTTTCCGAGGCTTCGATGTTGGGAGAGGAAGCAAGGGCTGGAAAGGGGGAGAACTGTGCATGGCTCCGTCTTCTTTTCTTTTCCTGCCTGCACGTGGGGGGAGGGGGGGGAGGAAAGAGTGAGAGCTGGGAGCAATTCAAAGCTAGACAACTAATGGGGAAGAGCTGATAGCAGGTGCTGGGGGAGGGCACTGCTGTTGCCGCTGCCAGGTGTAGGAGCTGGTTGGCTGTGCATCTCAGGGACCTGACTCCGGGGTCCCTTGGAGAACCGCAAGAACTGTGTGGCCCAGATTAATTGCTTTTAGGGGCCATTTCTTCTGCGGCCCACCAAAGTTTTTCCACGGTTCACCAGTGGGCCACGGCCCACCAGTTGGCGACCGTTGAACTAGAGGAAATACTTTGGTTTTAGCTAGGATCACATGTACTTATTGGGTTTCCTAAACTAACATGCAATTTTATATTCAGTCGCTTTTTTCAAATGAACATAGATAAAATTGCAGCCCTGGTTTGGTAAATCCTCGAACATTCTCAAAGTAACATGGAATATGATCTTTTTAAAAACACCACTGAAGGCTACCATTGCTAGTGTTGCAAACATAACTGCTAACTACTATGTATTGGCTTTTTGCTTTAATAGCCTTTTAACCAACTTTCTTAATGGACTGAATACAATTTAGATATAGAACTTGGCTAAAACGTAGCTTCAATTGGCTATTAAAATTTAAGAGCCAACTTAGCTAATTACAAAAAATAAGAGGAAGAGTGAGCGAGCTCTGGTGATAATGCTAAGCAGAGTAAGTAATAGCAAATGACAGTCTGTCTAGTCTTATTCTCAAGAGGAGATAAAACTTTTAACTGAGAAGTCAACCACACAATACACAACCTTCTCCCTCACCACCCACCCTCCACCAGTTCTAATTGTATTAATGGTGTTATGGCATGTCAAACCTGACAGCTCATTCCAACTTGAATTTTAGCGTATCAAAATAGCAAACTGAATATGAATTTATAAATACACTTAATTGTATATGTGTAGTCTGTATATATGCAAAATTACTGTTCGTATGAGTATATAGCTGTATTTATCTGTTTTAATAATAGTTAAGACTCAATACAAATAAAGAAAATACAATTATAAAGCAGGCAGGTTTGCACATGGTTAAAATAAAATAAATTAAACTATGCTTACAATTAAATTGGATTCTCTTCTGCAGATATTTTAAATTAGAAGGTAGGAAAGTAAACAAGGATCTGCTGAATGTTTACCACTAAAAGAACTGTTGAACGATTCATTATCAATACTCTCATTACACCATCAGCTGAAGAGCAAACTAGCTCTCCTGTGAAAAGGTCTCATGTATGGTGACCACTATGAAAAGGGACAAGGGGGAAAAATCCCAAGTATGTGGCGTTGTCTTTAATATTCCCTGACTCAAGTGTCTCCCTGCTGTGCCTGTAAATGTCAGTCCGGTTTTTTCATGGCTGCGTGCACAGATTAGAAACAGCAGGAGAGCTTGGGAATATGACTACAATACCGGTAAGGACTCTCGTCTTCATGGCAGTGCTCAAGTAATTCTTGGAATGCAGGACCCTGCTGTTTTCTAATATTTACACACAACTGGAGTCATCAAGAGCAGTAAATGCAGGCTATAAGGGAAGCTTACTTTCTTTGTGTAAGGGACTTTGCATTCAAATCAGGACTCCCAAGAGCTGCCACCCCCTTTCCACCCCGCCCTCAAAAACACAGGTTATTGCAATATTTTTAACATTGTCAAATGCTTTTCCATTCTCTCGTTGCTTTTTAAAGCATCAGAGCTCCCAGGAAACATATGTGTTTGTTCTTGAAGCTGCTCTACTGATAGACAAACTTCCTGGTCTTTATCTTCAAAATCACATTTCCTGCCTGGATCTAGCTTCTATCCCAACATTCCCTTTCTGATAATTTCCATTTATCCAGTTGTAATATATTTTCCCATCCAGTGGTCTTCTGTTCCTTGAAACGATTTAGAGATTTGTCCCTTGTTAATCCATACGTTTAGAAGTACCTCTATTTCTCTCCTACCAACCCACTGCTCAAATCTCACATTTTCAAGGAAGCATTGGGAAAACTGATGTCCTATTCCAATTAAACCAAAATATGTATCTTTGAACTATCAGTACATTCTTCCTGTTCCTCTGCCTCCATTTGATTTTTTTAACCTGGTTGTTCCTTTTTATTACTTTTTTAGACAATAAAATTGTAAGTATAGGTTTGAGCCAGACTGTGATTACACACACATGCACACATATGCAACCAAGAACTTATAATTAAATTTTTAATATTTATTTTACACAGACATTATTTCCTTTTTATTCAAGTTTATACAAAATAGCTGAATGCAAGAATGTGCAAAGAAATGCCAAAACACTGAAACTTTTGTAAAATCATACTAAACCGTACATTCTACATATAAGATTTAAAAACTTTTTCAAGCTAGCACTATAGATGTTTGTTTAAACAAATATACAAAAGATGAAAAAGCTAAATGGTACTGTAATAAGGTAAAATTAAAACAAAAGAAAAAAACCAATAACCCACTACTCAGTGCAAGTAGGAAACTCATTCTGGGCTTTTTAACTTCTGAACTCTCTTCCTTGGTTTCAAGTTTGTCTTGGGTTTGGGTGACATCTTCTGTAATTTGGGTTTGGTGGCTCCAATCTCTAGAGTTATTATGAATAAAGACAATTTCATTATTAAAAAGGCAGTTCATAGAAATTCTGAATTTAATCAAATACTTTTTTTTTTACTTACTAATACTTTACAATCCACATCAAATTCAGGATATTAATAACTCTAAAAATGATATACCTAGCTACACAAATTATATTTGATTGGAGCACAGGAGTTACTTCATTCCTTCTTGTACCAATTGGTTTATTCGTATCCAATCACATACATACCTTTGGGTTTTCTCCATAATTATTTTAAAATTTAAATAACACAAATGAAAAATTTGAAACTGGGCTTTACATGTCTTTGCCTAAAGACATTTTCTGAAACCATTACAAAATAAAATCGCCTAAGGGTATACACTTAAAAAAACTAAAACTGAATGCAAACATTTAGGGCATGTTACAATGCTATCCCTCCTGAGTCACTCATGAGTGTAGAGTTCCAGCAAATGGCATCATCAATTAAAGAGGGCCAATTTCTTAATATTCCATATAATATGTCCCTCTGCCCATGTTCCCAGGAAATTATAGAAGATTTTACACAATATTTATTATACTGTACTATTTCTGCTTTCAGCATGCAGAAAATTTTTGGAGACCCTCTTGATAAAAAAAAAAATCATTTTGACCCGAGTCACATCAAATTGAATATTTAATGAATTTAGACAAGGAGCTATCACTACCGAGGCCAGCAAGCTTTGCACAGGCTGCTGCTAACAGATATGGTTTTATTAAGTTTCCAATATTTCTCCATTTTATCTGCTATAATAAAGTTTTAATATTCTTAATGATTTTTGCACATTATGATGTATATTATTAAAGTATGGATACTTTCATGTAGGTTTTAACTTATTTGGCATGGCTGGTGATCAAAAATATAAATATATTGAATTGAATTGGATATTTGATTGGAACAAGGAACTGGCAACCCATCAAGAGTAAATATCTAGCCAACTTTCTCTGGCTCCAGCAAAATAAATTTCCTAAAGGAACAAAAAATGTCAAGGAAAAAATGATTTTGAAGACAGAAGCAATAGTGGAGTTGCTTAGTCTGACTTACATTGTTTATATTCAAGTTTTAAGTCTTACTCCAGCAACTGATGTGGAAAATGAAGTAAACAGCTGTGCTTTCAGTTTGATTGCTCAAATGGAAGCATAGGGAACATTTGTCTATAGCCACAACAACAAATGTGTGCTTCCCATGCATCCACATAAACTACCAGCCTTGAAATTGAGGGGAAGATACACTTACTGAAAAAGTATAATCCATCCTGAAGCAATATTGAAATACTTCAGTTTAGCTCTTTATCCTTAAATGAACTTTGCATCTAATCAAAAGTGTCCAGTTTTCCATGTTATTAGCATGAGCATAAATACAGAAAAACATACATTTTACTTGTAGTTTCTTAAATCTGATTTTAACATAATGCACTTCAATAACACTTGCATTACCTCAATATCTAAATTACTTTAATAATCACAAAAATTCACAGGCCTTTCATGATGCCTGTTACGAGTTTCACATGTAATTCCAGACCATAATCGGAGTTCTAAATTAGAATCCAATTCAAATAACATCTCTGTAGTTTCCGTATAACTTGTGACTAAAGCGTTGGACAGTTAATTATATGGGTTTTGGGATGTAATAATGCCTTAATAATATATTTCCCAAGATTGACTATTAAGGTCAATGAAAATGGGGTGCATCTAGAGCAAGGGTCTTCAAACTTGGCAAATTTAAGACTTGTGGACTTCAACTCTCAGAATTCCTGGGCTAACATGACAGGAGGAGGAATTCTAAGGAGTTGAAGTCCACAAGTCTTAAAGCTGTCAAGTTTGAAGACCCCTGATGTAGAATATAATAGATGCACTGATGGGGTGCATCTAGAGTGTGATAAATTTCTTATTACACTAGGAGAAATTTCCCTCTGTTGAAAGAAATGATGCTAGAACTCCTAAAGAGAATTTGTATCGGAAAGTATTTTAGAATGATAATCTAACTACACAAATATGGTGGATCTGACTGCTAAACTGACTGACTGCGATCGGAGTAGAAGGTGCTTTTCTTCACTGGTTGCACTCATATGTATGATCAACTCTTGAGGATGGCTTTCAGGAGTTTCTACTTGGCCTCATGGCTGTTCAACTGTCAGATACCACAGGGATCCATTCCATCATCCTTGTTGTTCAACATTTTTATGCAACAACTCATTGAGTTCATTGGAGTCTGGGGTTAAGTGCCATCAGTATTTTAACATCCAGTCAAGTGAAACAATATAGGTGTTGAATATCCATTAGAACCTGCTGATTGCCAATAAATTGAAGATGTTCCTATGAATAAGACATTGTGAATTGACTAGGAGCAGGAATCTGCTCTCAGATTCTGAATAAGATTACTCTCCCTGGAAAAGCATGTATGCAGTTCTGCTATACTAGTGCAGAACACAGCTGGTACATTCTTCAGAAATTATATAATGCTGAACCTAAAATAACTACACTGCCTGCCTAATGAGAACCAATTTGATGTCGTGCAGAGGGTTCCCCAACCTCCAGACTGCGGAAGCAGCGGGCGATCACGTGCAGCTCCACTTGCGCAAGCGCTCACACACAAGCCTACCACTCACAGAGAACCATCACTTCTCTCCCCCCCCCCCATCCCCGCCAGAAAGGTTGGGGCCTGCTGGTGTAGTGGTTCAGATGCAATAAAGTTGGAGAAGGCAGTACCTTATCTTACTGAGGCTTGAGGTTGGGAGAGATCAAGCTGGAAATGGCTTGGATGGAGGTGGGTCCTGCCTAGAAATTGGGCGGGATTTAGTTAACGATGGCAGTGATAGGTCCAAGCCAGGCTGGGTGCATTAGCAGCAGAAAGAAAAACACAGCAATGGTCAGCTAGGCTGGCACAGACAAAACATAAGCCAGCAGGCCTGGCAGAGACAGTGTTGTGTTTAGTGATCAGAAGGGCAGAAATGCGGAATCAGGGTAGGGGGAGCACCTATCCTGTAATTTTAAGTGCAGGTGGGCTGCCAAGCACCCAAATTTTGACTACCTGACCATTGGGGGGGGGGGGAGAATACAACAGTCATAACTTTAGGGACTGGTCTTATACCAGTCATTCAGCACTACTAACTACAAATGATTATTAAACAAATAGTTGTTAAGTGAGGACCACTTGTAATGATATCCAGTCAGGAGTCCCAAACGCCTGGACCTGATAGCAGGCTGCAGCCTGTTCAGAACCAGGCCGCACGAGCGATGAGTGAGCACAGAACCATCCTGTCTTCCCCACCCAAGCCGCCAGCAGTCCGCAAAACCGGAAAGATTGGGGATTGCTGCTTTAAGTGTCAAGTACTAATACTTGAAAGAGCATATCTCCCAGTATCTAAATACTCAAATGTTAAGACCTGGATGAGCTATAGTAATATAGTAATAGTAATATTTATAGTAATATTTGCCAACCAAAAGGGAGGGGGGAAGGCGTTTGAAAGAGCAGTGCGGCATCTTGGAAATTGAAAGTGCATTCCTTACATAGTTTTTCAGAGATAGTAACTTGATGTCTGAAGTTTCTGCTGCGCAAAATTCTAACTGGAGAACATGATTGATAACTCTTGGCTATGGATGTGTCTCATTGGAGAATATGAATTATGATACATCCAGAGGGTGGGGGAAAAACAGGGTTAAGGGTGACAAGAAATTATGTGTCTCAGAGTTGGCTACACCCAGGCAGTGCCGGACATGTTAACTCCCAAAAAATCCTTTGAAGTTTTGGAAGCTTGGCTCGAGACTCATGATTTAATTGGGGTAACTGCCGGAATCCTGACAATATGGCTGCAGGTATGTAATGTCATTTCCAGGTTTGTGCTGACATTTTCTGCCTTTCAATACGAGTGATGTGGTGGCCTAGAGCCATCAAAAGGCTGTGAGTTCGATCCTAGGTAGAGATAGATATTTCTCTCTGGGCACATTGAGAATATATGTGCTGAATGAAACTCCGCATTGGTGACAGGAAAGGCATCCAGCCATTAAAATACTCTGCTAGCTCCATTCAGTTGCCAGGCTCCACCCTGCAAGGGATTATGGGGTCGTTAAATGAAGATGAATTTGAGTTGCCATTACTGTCACAGCCTGTTTATGCCTTCTGGCCTTTAGCTGTATCTTTGTTTTGGTTGTTGTGGCCGTGTCTTAACTTGGCTGTAGTTATATTTAACTTGTTTTACTATTTTTTCTTGCTTTCTTATAGATTGTAGATTGATGCTCTGAATAATAGGTTGGCTATAAATGTTTTAAACAAATAAAAATTAAAAAATGCCAAAAATATTTGCTGTCCAAAGCAATACAGCTTCATTTTGTGGAGCCAACTCAAAAGATCAAAGGAGGAATATAATTCAAGACAAGCTTTAACTCAAGAAAGTAGGACGCTCTGCTTCAACATTTTTAATAGCAACATTGAGGTGGGTTGGAACCGCCGATCCAAGTGTCTTCTGGGCATGAAAACCGTTGCAAGCCTTTGAAGTGATTTTTTGATGTATACCAGGTGCCACTACATTTCACAGAACTGCCTCAAAAGTGCGCCTTGATTGAGGTTTCTTTCAAAGGGAAGCAATCCTTTGATGCTTTGCACAGTCCTAACTTGGAAATGATACCATCTGCCACAGTGCCTTTTAGAGACGGGCTATAACTCACAAGCAGCGAATGTGTGAGGTCCAAACTAATTCCTGGCATTTCCTGCTAAAAGAATTGGCAAGCCTTCCTTTTAGTCGTCCTGCTGATGTGCATCTGCCGGTCATAAACTATAGTATATGCCAAAATACTACCAAGATTTTATAGTCTATCTGCATAACTCCCTTTTCTTAAGTAACTGCACTCACTGTTGCAAGTGACTACTACTGCTGCTGCTGCTGCTGCTGCTGCTGCTGTTGGTAGCCTCTGGCTGCAACCTGCTGTGATGACTTGGTTGTGGGGAGTCAGCACTTCCTGACAGTGAATTGGACAAGATAGGTGAGGATAAAAATGAAAACAGAGAGGAAAATAAATGGTGGGAAAAGGGGTAGGGAGCCACCGCCAACAACTTTCATTAACTAACTGTCATCAGTTTTATATGATGAGCAATAAATATATTTCACATTTGCTACTCGCAGATAGCTGACAATCTTTCTTTTTCCATGTTACCCAACAAAATGGTTAACATTTATTGTAGAATTTAAACATCTTTGAATTTTTCTATAGCGATAAATCTGTGACAAACACTAATAAGAATGTTTGACTTACTCGGTGATGCAGGCTTTCTTTTTTTGGCATTTTTCACACTGTCAACAGCTATTTCAGCATTGTCCTCCTCAGCAGTAGCTGTCCCTGATGCAGCAACTAATTTTCTTTTTGTCTATCGTCCAAATCAAAACAGAAAAAGTGCACACAGGCAAATTAAACAAATGATAACACCATATATAAAATTGCTAACCATATTTCTCAAAGTTTTCTATCCTCTGAGTAATTAACTCAAAAACCTTTTAACAGAAAAGGCATGTTATCTTAGGAATCATGCTATGATTTTTAATATTTTATACAGGTTCTGGCATGAACCTATTTTAGTCTATTCCACAACAAGAGTGTAGTTTACAGTAATCAGGTACAATTACAACAGCACATTGAGTGTGGGCCTTCCATACAACAAGACTTCTTATGCATACAAAATTTGCTTCTTGCACTGCCTAAGCAGCTTCCTTTATATTGAAATTTTATTTTAAGTGATTGGAGGGATTCTTGTCTTGTACAAATTGCAGACACTTCTCTGCTAAGAAATTCAGGCTTTACACACATTTAGGTAAGAATTCAGATATTCACTATATTTCATATTTTCAGAATAATGAAATATAGTGCTAAAACAATGAGAAAAATACATATTCCAATATTATTTTTAAATTATTTTTAAAAGAATACCAATTACTATATAGTGTAGAATTATAGATCATGAATTAGAAACATTCATTTATTATTTAAGATCAAAATTTAAATTATAGTCAGTGAACCCCAAAAGTAAAATTTCAAGCAGCCACCATTGACAGCCTCCTTTCCATACTGATTTTTAATAGTTTGAAAACATTCCAATTAGAAAACAACATAAATAAATAAAGTTCTGGCTCTTCCTGGGATTCATTTTTTAACGTAAAAGAGATTTCTAAAACCTTTCAGACTTATTTGGTTAAAATGTTGTTTGTTATTCCCTTACCCTCCACAGCGAGAACTGCTTCTCAACCAGAAATGCATCCGGTTAGATCCCTTATAAATGGTGCAGAGAGGACAATATGCTTCAAAAGAAACTGGAACTGTGCATATATTTCCCCTATTTTACTATGAATGTTAAGAAACCAAAATGTTTTTCAATGTTCTTAGCCTATCAGCATAAAAAGTACTACTAAGCTTCCACTCACTTTTTTGGTAACTTTGATCAAAGTATATCCATAGTGAAAGAGCTGAAGTGGCTACAAGCTTATATAGCCGATGCGAAAAGGGGAGACTGCATTACATCTTTCCATCTTTCACGATTACCATCTAAACCCCGCTGGGCTGAACAGATTGGTTCGATAATTACATACAATAACTGCAGTGGGCAGGTAACCCTCAGCTGGCACAGGGCAGCTCCCCTGGGAGAACTTCCATATGCAAATAGCACTGATGGAGTGCATTAGGTACATCTTTCTTGCCGGTGCATAGGCCTGATTAACACCAACTCAAACTCCAAGGTTAGCATGTCAGCAGATTTGTGATGCATTAGGCAGGAATAAATAGAGACATTTTTTCTCATTCTGACCAAAATTAAGAAGGAATCTTTCAGCATTGTATTGCTTTTATATACAGGATATAAATGCATCCTTCTTGTCCAACTGGAATAGAGCTGTGCTTTTTTAAGACTTACTGTTAAAGCAGCTATTCAGTACTTTCCACATACTAAACTAGCTTTCCAGATTATACAGTGAAAAGCACATTCTTAATTTTGATTCAGGCCAGCTAGATATCAAGGAAAGTCTGTCAGAGGCAACACTCAAGTCTGATGCAGAGTGCACAGTGAACTATGAATTACTAATTCATATTTATTTCAGTTCAAATGTTTTCTAGCTATTATCAAATGTCATCAATGGACTCATCACTAAGCATATTCCATGACTTGAGTAGTTTACAAGCTCAATAATTGTAATTTCACTGCATGAAATTGAAGGAAACTTCTCTTTTGGCAGAAGTTAACTGAACAAATGTAACTGTTACAGCAACATCATCCAGTTCATATGAAAGTGAATTAAATTTAAGCCTAGTAGGGAATGCTCTCTCATTAATAAATCCCAGAACCAGAATCACTTAAAATGCACAATAGAGAAGATGAATAACTCCCTCTGTAACCAATTTCAATTAGCTGGGCAGCAACTCTACTATTTCTCAATTTACTAGCCATTATGATATGGCATCATCATATGTACCCAACAGAATGCAGTTTTGAGGTTCAACTTGGAATAGATTCCTAGCTAATATTGAAATTGAAAAATGTATCGTGCAGTCCTATCCATAATCAAAAGTATGTCGTTACTGGAGTTTGTTCCTTAGCAGGTATACAGCTGTACACCAGTTAAAAACATAATGTTCTACAGCAGCTCATTTGGTGGGAGGGGGGGGGGGAATGGTGGGAGAGAAAAGAGTAGTTCATCTTATACTTGTCTGAGAGCTAAGGAATATGGCATACTGAGTTAGGAGCCTGAGCATCCTTAAGCTTGTACACTCCTACTCTTTCTTTCAGATCTAGCCATTGTTTGTTTGAGAACTAACTAGCTTGAAAAATGATGGCATATATATATATAAAACTTTATACAAGAGCTTCTCCAAAACCAGAAGGGAAGAGACCTTTGTTCAGGTGGGAAAAAGTGTATGCGAACAAACCAGAGAATTGTTATGCAAGTCTTTATGGGATTACAACAGATTTAAGAAGTAAATCCTTGGAATCATCAGAATAATCAAAATAATTATTTCTAATGAAATGCTACAAGGCTTATCTACCTACCTTTATAATAGCCTGCCTCATTTGAAAAGATTCATGACACATAAAGCAGGTTTTTACCAATACAGCATCATTGTAAAGAGAGTTACATTTTATGCATTAGGAACTTACTCTAAAGAATTCTACTCTATTTTTATAAATCAAGTCTCTTGTCCAATTATAAACTAAATAAATGCTTTTAGGATTTTTCTTCTACAAAGTACAATTAAACTGACACAGTAGAATTGAAAATCTCAGTACACAAAATCTATCTAGTTAAACCTTGGAATTATATTAAGACAACCATTTCTATTTTTTTTTTCATTTCACATGCTAATCAAAAATAAAGAAAGCCCAAAGCATAGAGTAATAGGAAGCAAGCTGCAAGTTCCTTGAAATATTTAAAAGGATTCATGTTTCCAGTTAGCTCCTTTGTAAATCAAATTTTCAACTGAAAAACATTCTATTCATTTGGCTGCAGAGCTGCAATCCCATTAGGTGCTCCTTGCTTTGTAACACCTACAAACAGTAGTCCTCAACTTACGAACATTTTGTTCAGTGACTGTTCAAAGTTACAGCAATGCTGAACGCAGGGACTGAGAACTGGTTCCCAAAGTTATGGCTGTTGCAAAGTCCCTGTGGCCACATGATCAAAATTCAATCACTTGGCAGCCTGCCATACTTACACAGGGGTGCTTCAACTCCCCAACCTGCCTATCTCTGCTCTTTTGCCCCCTGAACTCTGCAGCCTCTGCCGCCCTAGGTGACTTTTGCCATCTTGTTCTCATTGGCCACATAAGGCTTTGCTGACCAAGTTGCTCTTGGTGGTTTTCTTACGGGACTTGGGAGGATGGGATGGCCTCATATGGTCAGCAGCTGCCTCATAAAGGGTCAGGCTGGGAGTACTTTGCCAGCAGCGAAAGCAAGAAGATGGCAGAGATCACACAGAGTAAAAGGGCCTCAGAACGCAAGAGAGCGAGGGGGCTGTGATTGGGACTGGGCTTCACACAGCAGCTCAGGGGCTTCTTGTAGTCCCAGAGCTGCAGCACATGAAGAAGCCTCTGAGCTGCAGTGTGACGAGCAGCCTCAGGGTTTGGATTGGGGTAGGTCTGTGATGGCGAACCTATGGCATGCGTGCCAGAAGTGGTAAGCGGAGCCATCTCTTCAGGCATGCGGAGCCATCACCTGTTGCTCTGCCGGGTTCCAGAGCATGCATGCGCGGCAGCCACCTGGTTTTCAGGTTTCTGGCATGCATGTGTGTGCGAAGACCAGCTGGCTGATGCACATGCGCACACTGGAACCCGGAAGAGCAACAAGCGATGGCTCCACGTGCCCAAAGACATGGAGAGGGGATCCCAGCAATCACTTCCTAGGGGAGTCAAGCTGTCGGCCAAGACGGGCGGACCGGGCTTCTCTCCCTCCCCTCCCAAGTGGGCTTCTTGCGTGGCCCCAGACTTCCAGCCCGCAGCATCAATGCACATCAATGGTCCAGTGCGCCTGGCCGGCTTGGATGCCACAGAAAAGCAGCAGCAGCAAGGGGCAGGAGCGACTGGCCAGCCCCCGCAGCCACACCCCCACCGACGAGCTGGGCTTTCGGCAGCGTCTCCATGTGTCAGGAGCTGTGCTCTCCTCCGGCCCTCCTGGGGCAGCTCATCTCCCTGATGACGGCTAGTCCACTTCCTCCTCCAGCATCCCGGCTGGAAGCGGCAGTGTGAGGGGCTGGAAGCGGTTCTCGCGGTGCCGCTTCTGGCCAGGATGCTGGAGGAGGAGCCGCTATCGGGGAGGTGAGTTGCGCCAGGAGGGCCGGAGGAGAGCACAACTTCTCACGCATGGATACGCCACTGAGGGCCTGGCTTGCTGCCGTGGGAGACGCTGTGGGGGCCTGCCAGTTGCTCCTGCCCATCACCCTGCGGCTGCCTTTTTATAGGGTGATGAGGCTGCACAGGAACTGAGTCCATGTGGGAAGAACAGCTATCTGGTGCCGGGATAAGAGGGGTGGGGGCAGGGTGGGGGCTTCCGAGGCCAGCCGTGGGATTGGAATCGGCTGGATGCAGAAACCAACACCGTCTATGGCCTGGTGCGCGGCTTGCTTACGTGAGCCAGCCTTACTGTTTGGAGGCTGAATGGAGCAGAGAAGCACTGCGGGGCCAGGCCATTCACACCCGTGTCCAGCCAGCCAGAATTCGCTGCGCCGGGGCAGGAATGAGACATTGTCCCGTGGTGCCTGCTCCCGCTTGAGCAGGGAGGACGAGGAGAACAGCAAGGGTTTGCGCTGGCTGGCAAGGCAGGGTGCAGGTCAGGCAGTGCTGGCTGGCTGGTTGGAGAGGGAGCAATCATTAGGTGGCTGCCGCTGCTTCAGTGGGGAAGATGCGGAGAAAAACAGCTCCTGTCCCCTTCCCCTGCCACCATCGCCATTAGCTGAAATGCTCCAGCTAAAGCAGGGATTGCATGCTCGCACTCTCATACAAACACACACACACACACAAACACACAGTTTGGAAAGTCCCCTTCCTCTCTCTCTCTGCAGCAGCAGTTGCACGTTTCAGTGCCTGGCTGGAAGGGCACTCAGAAAAGCCAGTGGGGGGCACAGGGGGCCAACTCCACACCTCCCTGCCTTGCTTTATACGCCTCTCCCCCACCTTGCTGCTCAGGAAGGTCCTGCTGCCCGCACCGCTGCCAGAAGCTTGGCTGAAGATCGCTCTCTCTCCCATACACACACACAGTTTGGAGAGCCCCCCCCCCCCCCCCCCCCCCCCCCCCCGCAAGCTCCATGCCCCCCCCCCCCCCCCCCGTCTCACCCCATTTGCATGCAAGCTCCATGGGACAACAAGGTATCATTAAGTAGTTAAGTAGAAAGTAAGGTTTTTTTGGGAGGGTGGGGGGGAAGCAGGAGACCGGCAAACACTTTTCACAACGAGAATGAACATTTTCTGGTGGGTTTTTCAGTGGCCATCAAGAAGGTACCACTATCTATTGAAAGGAGTTGCAGGCGAACAGTGGGAGGGCAGCGGCGCTGCTGAAATGAAAGGCAGAAACTGGCAGGCCATGCTCTTCCAAGCATGGGTAGTGCGGCCGATTCCTATGCCGGCGGTGGAAGAGGAGAAAGAAGAGGCGGCGCTGTTGGCTGCAGCCATAGAAGCCGAGGTGGCAGATTCGCCGTCCTGGTCCTCTCACTTCTGCTGCCCAGGGGTTCACTGGCAGCAGAACTGCCTTATCCTTATGTGTCTGTTTCAGGAGGAAGGTCTGTCCAACACTGGGGTAACAGACATGCCGGCTGGGAAGCGGTTGTGCTCCCTTGGCAGGGGGGGAAGGATGGGGTGGGGGTGCTTCATTAATACTTTTGTGGTTTCTGACACGTGTATGCTCACTGGCCAGCTGGTCTGCACATGCGTGCCAGAACCCGGAAGAACAAGTGGCCAGTGCACATGCACGCCCTGGAAACCAGCTACTCTTCTGGTTTCTGGCACATGGGCTTTTTGGCACTCAGTGCCAAAAAGGTTTGCCAACACTGGGGTAGGTCCTCACATAATCAGTGGAATTCAGTTAACAGCAATGGGGAGTGTTGGGATTGCTGTTGCTAAGCGATGAGGTCACATAATGTCATGCTTTATGAGCAGATCACCTATGACAGAAACTCAGCTCACAATTGTGGTCATAAATCAAGGACCACCTGTTCATTTGCGATAGGCATCTTCAAGTGGAGACAATTCAGCTCTTTCATCTAGAAATGGCTATATTAGAAGGAATGCTACCTTGGCGGCCTAGTCCCAGCAAACCATTCACTCTAAATCTTATGGTGGGACAGGGACCCTATAATGCATTTTTTATTATGCTGGTCTTGAATATGGCTTGGATTAAGCAATTAATGCAAAATAACTGAGCAGCCATTAGCAAAAATAGGGATTACCATCACTTTATAGCTGTACTTTGCCAATTTCCTAACTTATTTGAGGTTTCAGAGACCTCTACCATGTGTATCATTAACAAACACTACTAGTAGGGAAGCTGCTTAGTGAGTTTACAGTCTTTTTTCATTCCAAATAATAAATTTCATTTAATATCTGTGTTAATATATTTACTATAAATTTCCCTCTTCATGAATAAAAACAAGTCTTGGTTTCAGACAAATTGGCCACATATTAGGAGTCAGTATGCGAGATAAAGACAGATATATGAAATTTAACTTAGGTCAGTGTTAATAATGCCTTCCTTTTAAAAAGAATGACCTACATTAAATGTGCAGCAGTATTTTTTTCTATCTGATGTGACCAAAGACATATTACATAAAGAAATTTTCATTGCAAAAATGCCTCATATTTACAAACTCCAAAGTTACATAATTATCATTGTCCTTGAATAATATATTTAATAATTAGGGTGATCAATTAATCCTGACATCCAATACAAATGCATGGATAATATGTCTGGATACAAAATGCATAGATAACTTGATCCCTATCAAATCCTTTGAAAGCTTAGTTTGAATGCAATTGGGGATGATGACTCATTTCAAGATTTTGTTGTAATTTCTATTTTTCAGTAATGAACAACTGGTTACCCACATAATTAAGTACTGCATACAAATTGCATGTTTCTACATCTGCTTAAGAGAATTTTGTGGCAAGTGCTTTTGCCACCCAAGTACTCATGCTGAGTGTGATTTCAAAGGCAATTTTTGATTTGGTAGCCCCAAATTTTAAAATATTTGAACCAAAGAACCACCTCAAAGGTGTGTGCAACTCTCAACCACACTTGAACTAATTCTTTGGATTGCAGGTAGCTATAGGAAATTTAAATAAGCCAATGGCCCAGTCAAGTCTCCTACGCACAATTTTTCTTTCCCTTTACTGTCTTGATTTAACCATTTATAAAACCATTCACTCTTATTTCAGTTGAAAACAAGATACATTAAATACAGATCTGAATTAAGAAGACCTTAGGCTTTGCTGGAACATCGCCATTCAATGAAACTTCAAAATCCAGTATGCCATCATCTTTGTGACCAATGTCTTGCAGACCTTGAAGAAATATTTCTCGTAATTCCTGGTAGGGTGGTTTTTCAGTGTAGGACAGAGCCATCACTTTTTCCATATACCTGGCTATTTCATCTAAAGAAAGCAATGGAAAGTCCCAATATAACAATTACATTTTCATGTAGCAATATAGTGATAAGGTATAAAATTCAGATACAACACAGTCATAACTATTTTCTAACATGCTAAGAAACATATTTTCTTCTTCTCTGCTCACAGAAAGTATTTTGTTTTTGGAAACAGAATCTATAAAATACATAAAATTCTGCTTGGGATAATCAGTGTAATAGCTAGATCCAGATAAATATCACAGAAGAGTCAAAAGGAGAGCTTTCCTGACAATTTCACATCTTCAAAAATAACTCTGGAGGGGATAGATTTGTCGAATAAAGAAGGGCATCTTCTCCCATATTTGTCAGGTTCTAAGCAGACCTGAGGCAGTCATTTAATCTTTGTAGATTCATTTTATTCAGGAATATTGAAGTCTCGTAGAAATATCAAATTTCATAGTATACATAACATGAACTTTGTTTACAGGCACAAATATGCTGGAGAATCTGGATGTACAGTACAGATGAACAGATCCCTCTTTTAATAATTTATTTCTTAATCTTTTGACATTTGAAAATGTAATTATAAAATAAATAACCACAGTAAATCTTAAAACAGAACTATGTTTAATAGTAGCGTGATTTTAAAAATAATTAAGATCAGCAAATAGATTTAAACAGGGAAATTATAATAACATTGGTCAGATTTTTTTTTACTATCTTTTCTGAAAAGAAAAATATTTCCTAGCAAACTATCTTTATTCAATTTCATGAGATATAGTTTCATTTATAACTCTTTTCTGTGCAGTAAGTAAGCCTGCAAACATATAGACCACAATAGCATCAGAATGCTAGTGAAACAGATATTGTTGGCAAAATGGGTTGCTTTTCCTTTCAACTTACTCTGAAACCTCAAATAAAGTATATGATGAGGGAGGAGAGAAAAAGTCTGTTTCCAGGCTGCTCTTATATCATCCATAAATATTAGACATGTGTTTTTATTCTGCCTGTAAATTACATGTCAGGACTTTGGGGGACAATTTATTCACTCCCCAAATAAGAGACATTGGAATATTTTCTTTCAAAGAATTCCTTTATCTTTTTTCCTTACATGAAAGAATTACATTTGTTTGATGAAATAATTTAAGCAGGCTCTCACTTACCCGGCTTGTCTTCTTTAGTGAAACATTTCAACATGAAGTCTGAAATGTTATCTGTATACCTGGGAGGAAAAACAAGATGTCAAATTGAGTTTAACAGATCAATAGTTAAATTTTGATCTGTTAGATTTTCTTTCCTGTCAAATATGCAATACATATATGCAGTACATGCAATACACACATACACTGATAGCAATAATAATAATAAAGAGTAATAAAGCTATTCTAGCTTTTTTAAATTACATTCCGTTATTGAATAATATGTTACAATCATGCTGTCATGGGTAAGGACTGAAAACTTTCTGACATAGAAATCCTGTTGTATTAAGTTTTTGATGAGAATGTTAAGAGAAATAGGAATCTATAACATTTATTTTTACAAATAAAACAATGATTGTGAAACTAAAATGACTTTAGCATCTGGCTTTATGAAGATTATATGTAGAACATGGCAAAACAGGATAAGTAAGCTAGGACCATGGGACCATAGACCATGGGCTCTATGACAATTCACCACGGCCATCTCGCCACAAGACAACTCACTGCAGGGCAAGAGATACACTAATATAAAAGAAATGGAATAGAATCATTAAAGAAAGGATGCAAAATGAGGGACAAAATGAAATGTGAATGAATGATAAATACTAAAATAATTATTTATTGTAAATAATTAAATTGAATTGTTAAATTGTCCCGTAGCAAGTTGGTCGTGACAAGCTGTCCATTTCAAAGACCATGTTCACGTCTCATGTTTTCAGCTGTCAAAGGAATACTATAGTGTTTATTTAGGACCCATGTGGATTCAGCAGAGCTAGTAAAAATAGCATTTAATGAATAAACATTTATAATTCTGTTATAAATATTATAACATTTATAATTCTGTTATAAATATTCTATCATATTAGAATTCTGTTGCAAGCTGATGTTAAATAAGCTTTGTGAAGGGAGGACAACAAAAAGCATGCACCACTTAAGAATAATATAACAACATTCAGCATTAACACTTTACAGGATTTCTAGTTTCAATGTTTCTGGCTTTATCTTAGAGTGCAGATAAAACAGTTCAAAAATCAAAATGTGCATGTGTATCTGTAATAAAATCTCTAAATTTCAACATCAAAAGTGGTATCATTTATGAAAAAAATCTGTTGTACTAATTCAACATGCACTCTTTTGTTTGTTTACCTTATTCTTCTTTCACATTAAGCATTTTTGTCCCTTCCTGTAAGATTCAGCTCTGCCCTCAAACCCAAACCAAAGACTCATTGGCTGATTTCGGGTCAATTGCTCCTTCTCAGGTCAACTAAGCTTTCTAAGTTGTTCATTATGGGGACAATGGGAAGAGACAGTGCTATGTACACCACCTTCAGTTTCAGAAAGGTGGTATATAAATCCATCAATCAGTGTTCAAGTTGCAATACCGCACTGCAATATCTAACTGCATAGCTGAAATAAGAATGTCATCCAACTTCCACCCAATAATTCAATTTCAATTAAACCTGTCAAGTCTGTCTCACCTGGATTTTTAAGATGAAAATATGATATTTAGTTTCATCTAAACACATCTATACCAAGCAGTTTGAGTATATCCAATAGTATTGTTAAGTATGTTAAAATTACCTAATTTTCGACTCTTTGACATAATCTGGATTTTTCAGATTATCTTCCCAAGGCAGACTACCGCTAAGCCAGCAGATCATACAATAACCCAAAATTTCCAAGTCACCGCGTCTTGATGGAGCTAAAAAAGAAAAAAGTGCTAAATTCATAGTGAAGATGAAAATAGTTATAAAAAGTATCATTAAAGAACAAAAGGAATAATTAACTTAAAACCCCTATGTCTTTTAAAGATGATTAAGAAGTTCTCCTTTAGGAAAAGATGTCAGGTTTATTGCATTGCAATATTAGTTACAACCTATAAAGGCAGAACACTCTCTATGGATGATTATCTCAGTTACACTGAAAAGAAGTCATTGGTTGGAGAGTTTCAGATTGCCACGACAAATTTAAGACCACAGGGAAAAGTAGTACAGTATATAAAAAGAGAAAATGTTAATGGAATGAGACATGATTGAGGCTTTGACTGAAATAGTTATTCAAATTATATAAGAGCGTAATTGTTTTTGGCCAACATTTTTTCTTCTGAAACAGCTCTCATGAATCAAACATATTCTTGAAAGGCCATCCTGTATCATGAATCAGAAGCTATCTTAAGAGACTATCATGGTACTCAACAATGTTGACCAACTTTGTAGTCTTCAACTTGCCCTTTTTATAGAACGTTGTTGAGAGGATGGTTTGTGGTCAGCCACAGAGAAACTTGGGTTAACTAGGACTTTTCAATCTGGGTTCAGACTGGGGTTTATTCCTAAAAAATCATGAGCTACACTTGTGGATGTCTTTTTGAGAGTGAGAAGTGATGCAACCATTATAGTTCTTCTGGATCTCTTAGCAGTTTTCAAACCCAGGGTATCCTTTTGGTCTGGCTTTGGGGATTGGGAGGTATTATTTAACTGAGGTTCTCAATCTTTTTCCATGGTTGGTTCTAGTCATGTGGTGGGATGGAGAGATCAAGCCCTAAACCCCTGCAATATGCCGTGACTTAGGTCTCTCATTGCTTTTTTTAACATTTATATGAAACCGCTGATATAGTCATTCAATGGCATTTAGTGTGGTGTCATCAATACCTTGATGAAAACAGTCACACATGCCCACCATGGGACAGGCAGATGAAGCTATTGCAGAGCTGGCCTGGCCCCTCAATGTTATGAAGATCTGGATGGGAAGGAACTGGCCCTAATTCCACCCTGGCAAGAGGAAATGGCTGTATTTGGGCCAACCAGAGTCTGACAATGTGTCATATTTGACTCTGGATGGGGTGGTACTCCATTGGACACAGGGATCCTCCTAGATTTATACTTCCTACTTTAGGAGCAGGTTGCAACTGTGACCAATGGATCTTTTGCGCAGATAAATCTTATGTGCCAATTGTGCAGTTGTCTGAATTGAAAGGCCTTGCTTATGGTCACTCATGCTCTGGTACTTTCTGGAATGTGGTGAGTGCAGGAAGGCCAGGGAATGAAGAGAATGGCAGAGTCAGAATACAAGGTCAAGGGATGGAGGGTGCATCGGAATATTAAAAAGTGCAACTGTCCATGGGAAACTGCAATTATCACAAGTGACTGTGGGGGCACTGCAATGGCCCAAACTTTGAGGCCCAGTTGCAAGTAGCACTTGCTCAGCACTGTTGCAACTTCAAACTGTTGCTAAATGAATGCTTGAGTAAGAAAAATGAATATGCATAAAAATAAAAACCATCTTACTCGCTCCCTTGTGTGCATCAATACTAGTAAATTCAAGAGTTCCATCATGACATCGTTTGGGGTTTTCTTTGTAATCCTTGTGATTGCCTTCTGGAGAGTATCGAAAAGCAAGGCCATAATCTACCAAGTACACCTGTGCAGGTTTCAAGCACAACAAAATCAATCCAAGAATTAAAAACAGCCAACCAGAAGATGTACTTTATTTATATAATACTGACAAGTTCTCATTATATTATTAATGTCAGGAAATGTTATTCAAAATATAAGTATGTATTCTCTTTTTGTACCAAGATTCTTCCTAATATTAAAAGTCTATATACTTATCCTATATACTTCAATAAAAGCAAAACATTATATTATTAAGTTTAACAGGACACCCAAGCAAATTAAAATAAGCCTACCTGCAATCCAGTAACATTATTCTAATATTGATGTTAAAGGAACCAAAAAGCAAAATATTATCTGCACCCCTGCCTTATTAACCAGCTCCTGAATGAACTGATGTAGAACAAATTGTCTCAGGGGTGTAGATGGTGATTCTAAATATCATATTACCAGCACAAACCTAATTCAGAATTATTTTTAATAACCAAGGCTCACTTTTCCAGTGGATGCTTTCAATTCCCACCTGAAGTCTCATGCTGCTTTTACCACCAGTCTCAATTTCATTTACATCTCACAAATTGTTATAGAAACAAGTCAGCACCAGTCCTATCCTCTCTCTTTTCCAATTCAATCTGCTGGGCTATACAAAGCTTTTTAGGGCATTGGATCAGGTTATTGAAGGGACCAAGGTAGATAGTCTCATGGTTTCTACCCTCCAGTAATAGACAGAATTGGTGCTCCCTCCCTCAAACAACTGCATCTATTAAGACCCAGGCCTTCTCTGTTGCAGCCCCTGCCCTCTGAGATTTGTGTAGCTCCCACTCTGATGATCTTGTGAAAAGTTTTTTAAAAATGGCCTTTCTCCCTGGCTACCGGCTAGGGTACTTATGGACCCTGTTGGTTATGGCTTTTTGATATATGGGGTGTGGTTATCCAGTCCATGGGAGGTTTTCTTTACCGTTTTCTGATTTTAAAGTATAAGCTTCCTGGAGTCATTCTGGAATTTTGTGGCTTCTAAATTAAATAAGTATGTAAATTCATTTCCTGGCTCCAAATCTGGGTAAGTGGAAATTAATATAGGTTATAAAAAGTCTGTGCTTACAGAAAAATCTTAGACTGGGGCTGCTAAAACTCCTGGTTTGATGAGCATATCATGAGTTCTCACAAAAGAGTTACCATGTAAGAAGGGGTCATCTTTTCATCAACGTAAGATTAGCCAACTACAAAATACCCATTAACCAGGAAGCCATTTCCCCCAGAATTCTAATGTGCCTGTTCTGAGCCTATTGACACATTTTAAACAAAACACTATATTTTGTTCCCACTGGGAATAACTGTAAGACTCAGTATCAATGTCTCTGCTTTGCACTATGCCAGCTCCCATTTTACTTTCATTAGAAAAATGTAAAAAAAGTCAGATGAATCCTTCCCAGAAATGTATTATATAAGAAATAAGCCAATAATCCTAAGAATATTTGCATTGTCAGATATACTGTAATTCTGTATCAAGCTAAGAAGATACGTCAAACATTAAGATGGGAAAAGTGTCTTTGAAGAGTGAGCTCCTGTGCTACAAATTTGTCTTGATTACAATGCACAGTGCCAATTTAAACAACTAAAAATTTGTCTTTAGTGTATGTAATATATGTATGTGTATATGTTACTTTATTATAAAAATTCTACTATAGAACACAATCAATAATTCCCCTTGAATTTTTGAAATTATTTTCATTTTTAGATAATTCTCATCTTCCAAAATAGTATTCTTTATCAACAATTCATACAATGGTGATAAAAACTGTGGTTGTAAGACAATAACTTTGACCTCAGGTTTACAAACAACAAAAACAAATCTAAAGTGATGGGGTGATCAATCTCATAATACCTCAAATAATGTGAACAAGTGAACTTGTCAACTAAAAAGATACTCATTTGGTCTTTTTAGCTGCCAGAAAAAGGGAGTGGGGGAAAACAAAGCATTCTTGAAATGCCTAGATATCAACTCAGCATCCTAAAGTTGTCGGAGGATCAGGTTATTGGACAGCATGAAGGATGATTCTTGGAGACTGATGTGTCCTATTGGAGAAGTCACATCCAGGGGGTGGGGAAAAGACTAGGGTCAAGGGGGAAATGTATGATGTGATTTAGTACCGGCTGCACCTAGCAACGCACCAACATGGCAAGTTCTAATAAACCAATTTATTTTTTCTGAGATGTGGCTAGAGACTTTTGCTTTGAATTAGGGGGATTTGTTGGAGCACTGACAGAATTATTTTTCCAGATGAATCTAGGAGCAGATCTTTTACTGTCATCCCTGCTTGAATAAAAGCAATGCAACCATCTAGTTACTCCTGGACCTCTTGCCAAGGAACAAAATAACCCTCACAATGTTTCTATCAATTTACATGGAAATATGAAATTGTCATCTCAAGAAAAGTATCTAAACCTGGAAATTATTCATTTGCTAATGATGACTACTATAACTAAATGATAATAATAAATAGACAGCTAGAGATATTTCTGTAAACCATTTGATTTGAACTAATATGTTAAGAAATCAGGTTTTCAAGTAACAGAACATTTATGCTTGATGGATTCTTCGAACAAAGGAAATAAAAAATTGACAAAGCAGACAAGCAAACATAATTCACTGGTGTAGCATATAATTTTAAACTTCCACCCCCAAACAGCTATTTGAAATTCATTTTGTATTGCAAGCATTCTCTTGAATATTATTCAGGGCAGAATAGCCAATTTGATCAACTGCCAGCAAAGTGAATAAAAAATGTACAACATTAACTAGATATAAATGTCAAGCAGAAATATTAACGCTGTACACATTCATAAAGGTAAGATTTCTGCTGAGGTTCACAGCAGTTCCATTTTCTTTAAAACAATAGGTTAAACACTGAAGGAGGAAAAGATTGAAACTTACCTGATTTGGAATGTCGTGGCCCAGGAGAAGATTCGAGGCCTTGATGTCTCCATGTACATATTCATGTTCATGAATATATTCCAAAACATTAAGCTAAAAAAGCACAGAATGTCAGAGAAAAAAAAAACTTCAACAAAATAGATTTCAATGAGGTCTCTACTTACATTAACATAGAAAAACATTAACTTACTATTCTCAATCCCAACTGTAACACTGTTTTGCGTGAAAACTGCTTTCCTTGTTCTTCAAATATCTTCTGAAGATCTTTCCCTAATCTGTCCATCACCATAAATCTATAACTGATTTCAAAAAATACATTTAAGAAAATTGAAAACAAACATCGTACAAAAAAAATAACATTCAATCATGAAGACTCTAGACATGAAATTTTCTTAGCAACAATTAACAATTGTGTGCCATTAACTTCTTCCAGATCTTTTTTGACTTCCCAGTCTAATTTCCAGACCTGGTATTTCTTAATGGTCTCCTATCTACATACTAAGCAGGACAGAGCATGGTTAGCTTTTATGATGACAAAGGTTCTAGATGCTAGTCCTGGGCAATGCAGTGGCATTAAAAAAAGAAAAAAGAAAGAAATGTTTAAAAACTACTAAAAATTAATAAACAACCCCCTTCCATATTTTTTATGATTTCCAGAAAGCATGCAGGAACAAATGAAATCAGAACAGGATAACAGTTCAATTGATACTAAAGGCAAATTTCTGAAGTATAACAGAGAAGAGATCAGGTATGTCTCCTGACACCTGAACGAGATGAAGAATCTGTGCTATTCTAATTAACCAAACTTCTGCACCATATTCTGTGGCACCTGAAGCATGATTTCATTTAAATACCCTCCTTAGGAAACAATAAAAACACAGTTCTGTTTTCACTCATTAAATAACTTATTAAAAAAAATCAATAGAAAAGAAAGAGGGTTTTTCAATTTCTTTAAACAAATCTGTAATGCCTGTCACTAAACTACAAGCCAAAGAGAAGAATTAATCTCATTAACATCCCTTTCAATTAGTACATCTCCTGTTTGATATATTCTCAATGGTTTAATTTTAATGATAGTCAAATTTTGTTACTTTTTTAATTTCACATATCTAGCAAGGTATTTTCAATTATCTCTTTGGACAGATATTGCTGTAATTTAGGTAATACTCAAAATGGACTATTGCCGGTTTACTCTGTTCTGGCCTTGGGATGAAAAGCAAGAGAATAGCCAATATTGAAATCCTACTATTTGGCCAGAATTCTTTAAACATATTTAATTTTATTCTGATGGAATAAAGCTAACTTGGAAAGTTTAAACATCCTATCTTATACTTCCTGAGAACTACTAAGCACATGTATTAAATTTAATAGAATATCATAAAATTACTTAAGGTTCACTTAATACTGACCACAATGCAAACTTCCAAGTTATCTAAAAAAAATACACATAACGGTACCAATTCCTCAATATGTTGATCATGATAATAGAATGACAAAGAACCTCACTTCACATTATTGTTATAACTCATTTTAAGAAATATTGTAGAGTTTGGAAATTTGAAATTAAGGGAAGTTACATTATAAAAAAATCTTTTATATTCTAAAATAACAAATGGTTTATACCTTTTGCCATTCTTTTGATGCAAACCAGAACCCCAATATTTTGGTACGCCTAAATATTTCAGTTTGTGAGAAGAAATCCATTTTTTAACTGAAAAACAAACAAACCAGATACTCAATATACCTTTGTTACCACATAAGGCTGAAAACTATTATTACTGTCTATTAAAGCTTAATACAAACAGAAGAGGGTGGTTTTTTTAAAAAAAAACAGGGAACCTCTCTTTCACTGAAATTAATGGCACTGAAAAGTTTAGAATCTAAACTGTAGATCAAGGGTGTCAAACTCAATTTCATTGAGGGCTACATCAGGGTTGTTTTTTTACCTCAGGGGCAGGGGGGCCGGTGTGTGTGTGGCCAGTGTGGGCATGGTCAGCTTGACGTCACTCATATCGGGGGCACCTGTGGTAGCCTAAGCACTCTGCCAGCGAAAACGGACTCCTGATCCACATTTTCAGTTGTGATGGCCTCCTGCAACTTTCTGCCAGAGAAAATGGAGCTTGCGAGGACCACATGCAGCCCTCCCGAGCTCCATTTTCACTGGCAAAGGCACCACAGACGGGTCCTTTGCTGTTTCCAGGGCAGCCCCCTGGGCCAGATCTAAGCACCCCACAGGCCTGCTCCGGCTCCTGGGCCTTGAGTTTGACACTCCTGCTGTAGATGGACCACATTTTTTTAATGTTTATACATTTTGTCTTCAAGTCCTTCTATAGTTTTAGCAAATTAAATATAATAAATGTATACCACATGAGCAAAAAACTAGCAAACATGCTAGCGTGTTTAGCATATCTTTTAAATAGTTGTTTATTATTCCTTCCCCTTTTCAAGCAGTTTTTAGGGACAAGTGTTAGATCCATTTATAAAAAAATATTTCCAATAAATACTCATTCTATCATTATATGGTTATAATTCATACTCTTAAAATAACCATTTAGAATCCTATATGAATTACAATAACTTAATACTATATATTTCCCATAGTATTCTTATATTTAATGATTACATTGTTTTATTGGAAAAATGGATTGATTTACTTACTTAGTTCAGGTTTAGCAGCTCGCATGTAGAAACTTAACTCAGTGAAAAGTGGTCCATTGTCCCTGGGCTCCTTTAAATATGATTTTATAAATAAATGCAAAGTTTTAAATTTGATTTATTTGCTTTTTTCAAGCAAAGTTTTTGCTAATATATAACACATTCTTCTATTTTCCTATAAAAACTGTTCTTTTAACTATTTAATTTTCTTCCTTGTAATTCAGTTCACTGATAATTGTTATGTAATTGGGAATGAGATAATTTTAAAGTAAAGCATTTCCATATATCACAATATAAATGTTTACATAAATATGGGATCTAAAAACCTAAATAATATATAGTACAGCTAGGTAAGTATTTGAAGGATCCAAGCAAAGCAACCCATCTAAAATGGAGGCATCTACATCCTCCAGAATGCTTATCAAAATTGTTCTATGAACATTCCAGGGTTGTATGCATACTTCTGCAGGTACAGTGAATGGAAGAGACAACTTGGGAAAGACTTTGAAGCAGCAATAAAAAAAACTTTATTGAGCATGAGGTGGCCTTTCTGCTTTGTTCCTGTCAATATACTTCATCAAGCACTCTCATTTTCAGTATCCAAAATAAGACATATATTAACCTAGTCTCATATCAGGTCAAGCTACTACCCTATCTAGTACTGTGCATTCTATTCTGCCTATCAACACCTTTCCAGGATCTTAAGAGTTCTTCCCAAATAGGGATTGAACATGGGTTCTTATACATTATGACTTGAGATATAATAGTTAGTTATGGTACTTCCCATACCTATAGATATTTTAATGAGAACATTTCTTATTAAAAAATGTCCTTGCCATTAATGGAAACAAATGTATGCATCAAGCAATCTACCAGAGAACTGATTTGTTGTACATGGCTTATGCAATTTTTTCTGACCTTCTCATTTTGAAATTGGTGTCTTTTTTTAACTAAATCAAAATATGATTATAACAAGACTAAACCATTAGTTTTATTTATTTATTTTTATAAATAAATTTTATTAATTTTACAATTAAAACAAACCAACAACACATACACAAATGAAAGAAAAAAAAGAAAGAGAAGAAAATAAAAAGAAAGAATAGAAAGCAATTAAAAACATTATTTTTGTTTTATAGAACTATTAGAAGAGTTTTGGTCATGAACAGTGTGTTACTTGTGATAGTCCTTTCCCAGATGACCCTGACTTAAGTGACTGTTATCATAATGCAGAATAGACTTCAATGTCTACACACACTATAGTTAACTCTATTCTATAAATCTATAGCTAGTGTCAAATGTCACCATCTCCAAGAGGTATTTTTTTCAAGCTATCTATTCATGCATAAATATAATTTATCACCTTACATTTAAATTCTAAATTATATCACAAAGCACAGATTCATATAAATATTTATATCAGCCACCTCCTCTACTCATGCAGCTCATATACATCACCAGTATGAATCACTATGCATTAATACTTTTCAATATATTTAACAGTAAAAAATATGACATATACATTATTTTACATAATTATAATTGATTAATAGCATCTATAATTCCATACTGCAGATAAAAAGTAGCAAGAAAAAGGCAAATCCACCTGATGCTACAATTAAGCAATATTATTTGCAGCAACATTATAATGCACGCTATAATTTGGCTTTTTTAATCAATAGTCTTCTCCAATATCACCACATATTGAGAATGTCAAAACTAAAGGACCAGGAAATCATAGTCCTATCTATCCACTCACCCATATTGGTTAGTGGGAATATCAATGGGATAATGAAAGGCAGATGAGAGGAAAATAGGCTCAACTTTTTTGAGGCATCCTGCATGCACTATTACTAGTTATATGGAAATCACTGCGTGATCCCAATTCCTACTATTAATGAACTCATGATCAGAATGATCCTTAATAGTTCATAGATTCCACAGCACACCACGTCTGCAAATGCCTTATATGTTTATCCTCCTTAAGAACTCTAATTTTCCAAATACAAAATTAATGAGAGTACAATAATAAATTCTACTCCTTTACCACATATCTCTAAAGTAGAATAGCTCTTAATTACAATTAGTTAAAAAATAAAATATACAGTGATTGCCCTAGAGAAATACATACAAGCTACAAGTCAGATTTCAGATTGTTGGTCCCAACTTTACATAAATTTTATTTCCTATGCAATTTCTGAACACCTCAAAGGAAACCAGTGTAAAGCATGAGACATTCCACTATTCAACACTCAATCCAAGGAATATAATAAAATTAGAGATTTGAGCAATTTGACAATAGCATTTATTTTAATTAAAATATATTAGCAAAGCTTAAAATACATTCTAGTTTAATTTAATCTACTTAAACAATCCATATAACACTGGCTGCTTAATGATTTTCAAGAATTTTACAAACCTACAAGTGGAAAAGTTTGTCTTTTCCATTTTATTCTTCAAATGTAGACTATTTCAAAAGAAAGAAATTATTTCCAGAGTCAGTCTGGCGTCGGGCACTCAAAAAATGAATGAGTGAATAATTAAACTAAACTTACCACTTTTATAACATAGGGTGCATCACTGGTGACTGATTCAGATGAATTAACATCAGCTGTTAAAATATAAGTAGATTCTATCAACAGGATTTAAAACTATCTTAATATCTCAGCAGCAATTTTTACAAAACTATCAGAGTAATTGGATGAAAACCAAATACAAATTCAAGAGTATATTTAACAATATTGTATTGGGAAGCCTTATGCATTCTTTGCACAAATCCACCTCCATATCACAAACACTCATACAATAATATAAACTGATACATTTTGCATGTAATATTTCAATTATGCATGTAAACAATGAATGGTACATTCCATTTTTAAAAACTGTATGAACTTGCCAAATCTAACTACAGTCAATCAAATATACTACTCTGCTTTAAGAGCAGCCAGCTGGTGCTGCCAAATGTAAATAAGTCAATTTAAATTTTCCCATTAGTGCAACATTCAGTGATTTTGGTGGGTGAATTGAAGCAACAAAGCCTTTCCTAAAGAACAAGATTATGAACACCAACTCCTAATAGGAACATGGTAGTAACAACCATAACAGATATTTTAATTAGTATTGAGTCCATAGCCACCTTGCCCTACAAAAAGATTTCATGTTCTTATATTTATCTGCTGGAACAGGCTAGGGAAGATAGAAGAAGAGGGGGAACCCATTCTGCCAGAAGAGTCCGTTCTACTGGCAGCATCACTGGATAAAATACCAACAAAAAGTATTGTGACAAAGGCCTTCTTGCAAGGGGAGCATGAAGGCAAGAAAATCAGAATAAGCAATAGAATCAGGCACACACACCCAACTACTTTTTATTCAGTTCACCAGATGCTGCTACCAACCCTGCAGTCCCCTCATCAATCTGCTAATCAGCTGAATGGCAGAATCCCAAGAACACTATTTGGCCTGTGGACATCCTTTCCGCAGCATGATAACCATGCATTCTACAGCAACTACTTGTCAATTGATTGGCAAGCTGGCTAGTGCTGGAGAGGCTTGAGGAGTGCTACACAACAACACAGCAAGCTTTCTACGAATTGTTTAAAGGGAAAAAGATAAAGTCTTATTGTCCCTTTTTTTCCCTAAGGTCACTGCTTTTCTACTGTTACAGGAAGAGAGAAGCTGCAAAAAATGATGAAGTTCTCCTCTGGGCAATTCTATTAGTTGAGTATTTCGCAACAAAAATGCTTGTTCTGTAATGTTCACAGAGCTTCTGAAATGTATTAAGAACACACATTCTAAAATAATTATATGCTGCCAATGCCTATATTTTAGCAATCTTGGCAATATTCTTACCAAGGTACAGACAGCCAAAACCACCTTTGCCTATAACTGGACCAAGCTTCCATTTTTTCTTTAAAAGGTCAGTAAAAACTTCTCCAGGAGGAAATTCTTCTGCAAGTTTCCGTTTTCTTGGGCCTCTTTTTCCTGTCGACTTTTTTATATTAGGCATAGTCACTAAAAACAATTAAAATAAAACAAAGTAATTAGAAATAGGATAAATTTGACTTATTTTTAGATCTAAAAGGTCTTTATTGCCTTTTTCTATCCTGTTCTGCAAAACAGAAGAACAAGTTCTGATCCTGGAACTGATTTTAGCACTGAATTTTTCTAGGACAAATTGATCAAAATACAAATACAAAAATGTATTGTTTACTTCCTATATGATGCTCACACCTCTAATAAAGGTGTAAAAACAGCTCTGCATTTTTAAAATAATGTATATTCTTACCAATTTCTCTTATCATTCATAGTGTAGCAAATAATTACATTTCTGTAAAAGTTCAAAGATGGGCATATCTACAGAACCATTACTAACATGGACAGCTTGTATCCTTCCAGATATTGCTAAATGACATTATTATTCATTCTGACTATGGTTACTGAAAATTCTCATTCAGCTATACTTAGATGACCACAGTTTACCTATCTTTTGGTATATGTCACAGAAGTGCAGCACAAAAGTAGTGTCCACTTTCTCTTTTTTCAATCTCTGAAAAAAGAAATCTCACTAATCATTCTCTTCTTTTACAATAGTTTTATTTTGATGTGCCATTTAATTAATGGGAAATTAGCAAAAACTATCTTCCCTCATCATTGCTTCTATTTTGCCATTTTTGAGTTGGGCTTTTTAAACTGAGAGTCAGTGATTAGTTTTACCCCTACTATTTGCCATCAACTCTTCCAAAACATAGATGAATCTCAGTTCAATCATATGCAACCAGGCAGATGAGATTTGCTTTCTAAATTGCATAAGTTTTCATACTCGTACCTCTGACAAATATGAAAAATGACATTTTTCGCACTATAAAATGCACTTCCCCCTAAAAAAAATTGGGTGGAAATGTCTGTGCATCTTAGAGAGCAAATGTTGCAGTGGGAGGGAGGGGGTTGGTGTGCTGCCACCACTGGGAATGCTGGAGCCTTCACTGCCGATCAGCTGATTGGCAGTTGGATCAGCCTCCCAGAATACCACCGATCAGCTGTTCCAGGCATCTATCACCGTCCATTCGCCACCGATCCGCCATCACCCAATCGGGCGGCAAACGGGCAGCGATAGATGGCATTGGCAATCCCCACCACCTAGAACAGCTGATCAGCAGTATTTCGGGATGCCGATCCACCAATCAGCTGCTTGGCAGTGAAGGCTCCAGTGTTCCCGGTGGTGGCAGCTCAGCTCAGTTGACCGGTGGCGAGCACAACAGAGCAGAGCCCTGACGAGCCACGTGCTGGGGCTGCAATAACATGCTGAAGTTGACCAGGCTGTTTGCTACAAGAATGCTAGCCATAGCTGGCTGAGGAATTTTGGGAGTTGAAGTCCACAAATCTTAAAAGTTGCCAAGTTTGGGGACCCCTGGCTTAGACTTTGTCATACAATACTACATTATGTTAAGCATTTACCATTCCATGCTTCTTTGTGGAACTTTCAATTTCTGTATCACTTTTGCATTTAATGTCCACGTTTCATGACCTTATGTCAGCACAGACACTATACACATTTAAACAATTTCCTCAGAAATGCGGTGGGTAGCCATATTACATAATGAACAGGATAACAATAAAAATACACATTAAAATATCCAAAGAAATGCTGGGCAAATGTAATGCAATTTGAAGGTGTTAACTGTAACTATTTGCACTGCACATGTGAAATTGAAAACCAGTTAAAGAATCCGTCTTGCAATGTACTCATTTGACCTAATGAAGATAGATTTATCCCTAAGTAAAAAAATATAATATAAAATGTATGCACTGACAAAATTTCCAAATACAAAAGTCCACACTACTTACATTTTCATATATATCCAAGTGCAGTTTTGAGTTTGAATGCAGGGTCATAAGATTTTTGTGGAATTAAATGGCTGAGAGTAATGGGGTATTTACATTTTTAAATTGCATAGAGATGATTGTATGGTTGGTTGTGTTTAGTTTAAATTTTTTTCTTTTTAGTGGTGTTTGTCCAGTTTTTACTTTGTGGAAGAGCACCTCATTTCGTTGCACCCGCTTGCGAGTGTAATGACAAATAAATTCTTATGTCTTATGTCTTATATTACACCATTACTATATCCTAGGTATTTTGGGAAGAACTTGATGCGCATGAAGGCCAACACCAGCTACACAACTGGCAGCTGTGATTTCACATTGTTGTGCACATTATATTAAAGTATTAAATTTATATGCTCCCTGATTCTCAACTCTGAGCACTTTACAAATTGTGAAAAGCATTTAAAAATAAGGAACAGAAAAAGAACAGAAAAAGAAAACAATAGAGCAGAGGAACCAAACCTAGATGGTAGCAAGTAAAAGAAAGGAGTAACAATTGTACTTGTCAAAGGCCTGGAAAAAGAGTCAGGTCTTTATGGTCTTTTGAAATACCAACAGGGTGGGAACCTTTCAAACCATCATTCCACAGGACAGCATTGCTACAGGGAAGGTGTACTTCTGTGGCCTTGATAGGTGTTATTCTTTAATCAATGGAATCTAGAGGGTGCTAAGTCTGCCAGATGAAAGTGACAAACAATATGTAATAAACTGCACACCTTATTCATTTATTTGTATATTTAAACAGACATATCTATCGTAGTGTAGCATCATTTAGATGAAATGACATTAATTTGATACATAAATATCGTAAACTTATCAATCTTGAGAGTTAATAAAAAAGCAGAAAAATAGGTGGAACCCCATCTTTTCCCATTAGCTTATATTCCTCCCTCTTTGCTTATTTTGTTTACTACAAAATTAGCACAATGACACTAGGTAATTTATATTTGAATGCTATGTGGCATACTTCCACATTCCCCCTCCCCTTGCTCTCTACCAGACTTTTTGTTAACATATTGATGCATTCTTGTGTTTTCATTTTATGTTATTGTTCTATTATTTTACTTCTATTTTGTTTACACTCTTTTCAATTCTTCCTTTTTATTGTTGTAAGCCACCTAGAGTAGCCCTGTGGCAAGATAGAGACAAATAAATTTAACAAAGAAAAAATACAAATTGAAGTCACAGCTGCTTAAATTATATTCTACAGGCCACTGTCTATCACTTGAAAGTAGCCTAACCCACCTCACAGGGTTGTTGTGGTGGGAAAAATAGGACGTAGAAGATGTATTGGATATGTTCTCCACCTCGAGTTATTTATAAAAATAATACAAGTGATAAATGAATAACCCTGGAAAAACCAGCAAATGTGGTAGATATTGGGTAGGGATAGGAATATTTGAAGACCTAGTGCAGCTTTCACCAATCCTGTAACTTCCAGAAACTCTTAACCTACAACTATAACTTCCTTGAATTCCTTGCATATGTTTTAGGAAGAGATATCAGCAGAGCCCTAGTTGTTAAAACAGATGGTTTTTAAGATAAATGTTAAGACCCTGAATAGCAAAAGGCAGGCTTAGGAGTAAACAAACAATAGCAATCTTAATATTAAATATCACTAGTCATATATTGTACCAAAAACACTTATGATCACCATCATTTGTAATAACTAAATTAACAATTATTTAGCAGGTCCAAAATACGGCTATGAACCCCATTGCTATTGCAATTTTTTTTCTTATCTCCCACTTTTTATTTAGTTTTCTTTCTATTAACTGTTTCTATTACATGTTTCCAACCACATTGTTTCTACATTGTGAAATGCAAAACTTATGTCCTTCATTCTCTAATACATCACAAACTGTTGTTTATGTCAGCTCCCTTCTGCAAAACCCAAGATACTTCATTGAACAGAGCACATACCACCTCCCCACCTAAAAAGGAGAAAAAGTTGGCTTGTATTTTACTTCAACGAAATTAGTCACAGAGGCCTCCTGAACAGTTTTTAAGAATTCAAACTACTGTATGATTGTTGAAAACTAATGAGGAGTTTCATTAACCTCAGGTGGGATGTTACCATCCCCAATGCTCAGCTTGTATTGTAGACCTACTCACTTACCCCAAAATGTTTCACCTTGCCCTTAGCATCCAAAGGCTACTCCCCCCTTATTTTAATAGATCACCATTTATAAAAATGGACGAAATCAAAATGTTTGGAGCAGTTTTTCCCAAACTGGACCTTCGAACTGTTAACACTGGATCTCGTACTAGTTTTCACTATTAGCCAAATTGAATTAAGGCTTAGGAGGAGGTACTTTCAGTTTGAACTAAATCTCCTGTCCTGGATCGACTTTATCCAGCCCGTCCAATGGAGCGGAGCCAATGGAAAAAAAGCAACGGAAGACACACCAAATCCCGAAAAATTCACCTACCGGTATATATAGATATCTCAATTATATTGCTAATTGGCTGGTTTTTACGCCGACATGCACAACTAAGGGCGGAAAAAGAGAAACACGTAAAGCGTTTCTGTGGACAACGGCTCCTGAAAAGGGCTGCCAAACAGCAGAGTCGGACTACAGAGGGACTAGTAGGAGGAAAGTAAAAGCAATAAGATCCCCCTTTGGGCAAAGAAAATAGGCACCACATGGCTTCCCAAGCTCTCTTCCCAGGGGAAAGGCGATGCAATTCTCGCTCTCACCCCCCCCCCTCCGCCGCTCCAGAGTCCACAGCGAGAGAGCGTTTCGGGCCATACCTCGTCAGCCAAAAAGACTCTGGCGAGAGGGTCACACCAGGCGAAGAGCGCGACCACGCCTGACCGTGTCAAAGACAAAACTCACTCCACACCGGAAACGGGAGAGCGGAAGTTCGGAGTTACCGCGCAAAACGACCTTCCGTTTTCCAAACGGGATATAATCCCTGTAACTGTCACAGCAAAAGGGCGGTCTCGCCTCCCGCGCGCCAAAAAGTGGGCGTGGCTCCATCTTGGCGCCGGAGCCGCGTGTTCAGCTTTCGCTCGCGCGCATGGGCGGCATCGCGTGTTGGCTGCCCGAGGAAAAAGGCTTCGTTTAGCGGCGTTTCCGTAGTTGCCTCGGATAAAGTGCCGAGGGGGCTTTTTTCTTTTTTGGCGCAATCACAAGTAAATCCCATTACTTTCAATCGAATTTGATCCTGGCAACCTCATTTTGAGCTTCCAATTTTCGCTCTTTTATTGCTGCGACCTCGGTTGCCCCACTTTCTAAATCTTGTTTGTGAACGACACAATAATAAGCGAAATAAAATACTTTGCATTAATTTATCCTTGGAATCTTCGTTGTACCAACCTGTTTCTATTAACGGCAGCTTTTTATTACTGTTCAGAAAAATTGCATTGATCTACCTGTTGCCAGGCTGATGAATTATCTAGTATTTTTCTTTTAAAGTGATTTTATTATATTTACCTTCTTACTGTTTTGCCCCAAAGATAATAGGTTTTGTTGGGAAGATTGGTTGTAGGTTTAACAGTTAAATTAGCATTTTTTAAAAATAGTATATAGTGTATTTAAGATGTAGAACTGGAATATGACATCTTTTAACAACCATGATAATGATTACATTAGATGAAAATATTTTAAAAGAAAATATTAGTATGTAATATTAGATATTACTTTTTTAACAGAATATTTTGGTTTAATACCAAATAAGTAACAGAAGAAAATAGATTATCAATTAATTCAGTTTACTGTATCACCTTACAAAAATAAATTAACTCTGTTTAATCAGGGGTTATTCATGGATGCGCAATAGAGTTGTAATTTTAAATTCCTATTATAGAAAAAGTTCTTATGCATATAATGGACCTTTTTATAAGAATATATATGCTTTGAAGTTTGTTATCTATCACTACTGCAGGGTATCTTGCATTTAGGGCTAAATTGAGAGTTGCTATGAACTTTTAGTCATGCTACACAAATTACTGCTTTTCTGTAGTGTCATCCAGCAAAGTTGGTCCTGAATTATTTTACTACAAAACTCTTAAAAACCCTTCTGTTCTAATATCTCATTCTGCATTTTATATCAAAAAGTTTCTACATGGAATTTCTATCAGGCCCTAACAAATTTTTGTATTTAAATTTGGTGACATCCTCTGAAACAGCCTTGGTACAAAGACTATGACAAAATATCCAGAGAGCTATGGAGTTTATGTGTAGGCAAGATAAAACAGGAAAAGTATGTGCACCTCTGCCCAATACAAAACTCGCAAGATACTATACTGTGTTTACTGTATTTTGGGTATTCACTTGGAATTTTCTACTATTTTTTTAATTTCATCTTTGTACTTGCAATTTCCCCCAGAGTCCTTTGGGGGGGGGGTTTATATGGTTAAATATGGTTAACAAGTGGAATTAAATAATTTGTAGCTTGGCATAATACAGGAAACATTGGCAGCATTTGCTCAATGCTTTTGATCTGAATAAAATAGAATTGAGTAGTTTGTAGTTCACTATGTTGTAGGAAACCTAATCTTAGTCTTATATATAAACCATGCTATCACATTAAGATGTAATATGATATATTCATAAAGTAGCACATTATGAAAATGTAGCACTTGTGATTTTATGGATAGAAACATATTTTAATCACCTGAGGAAACAAAAGAGGAAATTGTTTACAGAAGGCTACCAAACAAGGGTCCCTGAGCAAAGAGAATTAGAATTAGAATTCTTTATTGGCCAAGTATGATTAGACATACAAGGAATTTGTCTCCAGTGCATAAGCTCTCAGTGTACATACAAGTAACAAGTGATAAATCATGATTATAATCATAAAATTCATAAGTCATCAGGTACAACACTCAGTGATAGTCATAAGATATTAAATAAGTAATCAACATAAATCATACTAGGATGCTAAATAAAACAATATAAATCATAAGATACAAGCAATAAAGTTATTGTCATAAAAAGATAGGGAATAGGAAGTATGAGAAGGATAATAGTAATAATGCTCTACTAGATAGATTGAGAGTGTGGGAATTAGTTGTGGAGAGTACCATGGGGAATGCTTGCTACCTAATCCTATCCCCATATACTTCTCTCAGACATGAGAATGGTCAGTGGATTCTTGAGAAGCCAAAGGAAATGAAACATTTAGAGTGATGTGCAAAATGTCTTTCTCTTCAAGGAAGAGAAAACCCTTTCTATTGCTGCCTCCTGCTTTGGAAAGTATGGGATATGATCAGGTTGAGCCCAAGAGAGGGGTCAAATGTGTCATCAGTCTCGAGTCCTTTTGTGCCCACAAGAGATCTAAATTCAACTCACCTTCAATTTGCTTTACTATCCTACCACCAATTTGTGTTAACTGTTTAGTAGCTCAGATTCTTATACAGAGCTTTAGCATACAAATCTATTCATTTGAACTGCCTGGACTCCTGATTTTTCTGTGCTTGACATTCTATCTGAGATTACATTCACTTCCATGCTTGTTTTTCTGAAAGTCATTGAAACCTGGCTTTTCTAGAGAGACTTCAGAATAGACCATGATGGTGAGAAAGTTTCTTGATATGGTTTGGTATTGTGGTTGTTCCCTGAGGTACTGTTGTATTTTAACTTTGTGAAAATGGTTTACATTTGCCTATTTACAAAAACACTTTATTTTGTAGAATGCATGTACAACCATAATTAATATAAATTAAATGCAATCTGAAAACTACAAAATTAATGTTACAATAATAGGATAAAAGAATCAAATCCTCCACTCAGCTACTAATCAAAAACACCTTGAAGCATCTTTTAAAGCAGTGGTTACCAATATGGGGCCCATGCCCCAAAGGGGGGCAATTTGATTTTTAGTGGGGGCAATTCAATAATGAGCTATTAATGGAATTTTTGAAAGCCCGCTAATTGTTCTTATATATTTGTGATGAAACAGCTGCGTTTCATTTACCTATTGTTGTCTTTGTTAAAGTGCATTTCCTGGGGCCTGGTCTGAAAAGAATCATGGGAGTAGCAGAATCTCTCTCTCTCTCTTTCCTGTGGGCTTTGCTGCCGGGGGTTTGCAGAGATAGATGCTCTGTGGGGAGACAGAGTGGATGGCTGCTGAGGGAAGCCCAGCAGTGAGGATACAGAACCAGGACCCAAGTTTAAAAAAGAAATTGTTAGATTTACAGTTATTTTTAGTCTGTGCTTTCCCAGGCCGTGTTTTACAAGACTTTTCCTCTCAGAGCAATCTGGGGCTGGACCACGATGTGTAGGCCTTACCAGGCCTGTGTGATTCACTCCACCTACTGAACTACCAAAGCATTTCCCACTGACCTGCAGGTTCAAACCGAGTGGGTCATAGGTTACAACCCCCCTTTCATTAATGACAATCTTATTCATAAATTAAGCTAAGAATGTTTTTTAAATTTCCCTCTTTCTGCGCCATCTTCTTTTAATAGTTGTTTCTTTTAATAATTTGCATCATTTTGTAAGTTTTTCTCACATTTCTTTTAGTCACAAATCCTATGCATAAAATGAGTAGTGCAAGCAAGAAAAAAGTTTTAATATGTATAGTAATTAATGTGATCAGAGTATTACAGAAAAAGCTTTCATTAAAATTATTTTATATGTGTGCATTTCAGTTCTCTATTATATGTTTTGAAACATTATTTGCTGTTTTTTTCATATCCCTTCATACTATTATTTTTTAAGTTCCTCAGTACTTCTACTGTCTTTCATGCTTTTATTTTTCTCTTTCATGGATGCCATGTTCTTTGGAACCTTGTTTAAACCAAGTTAATGGCCTTTTAGGCTTCCTCCGCGTGAGGAGCCGTTCACTTTTTGAATAGTAAGAACTATATGTCACGGGGCGGGGGGGCATAAGGATTTTAGAAATGCTTAGGTTGGGAACCACTGTTTTAAAGGTAATCAGACCTTCACAGAAATGAAGGAGGAAACTGATTCCAAATCACAGGACTAACTCCCTAAAAGCCCAGAACTAGAGACCCCAATCCTGGCATAGGAAACAGAAGACCCTGTCCAGAAGAATATGAAAAATTAGTAGGGATGTAGAAAACAATAAGGACAGGTACTGGAGTTGTTATGACCAGAGGCAATAAAGTTAAGGATCAGTAAGTTAAACTGGGAGCCAGTGAAGAGTCCTGAGAAATAACAAAACAAGGGAATAGTGATGAAAGTCAGAACAGCCCTATTTTAGACTAGCATCAAGTAATGAAGAAACTTCTATTGATTTTTCAAACCATTGGAGCATCCCCATAGTCACGTGATCAACATTCAGATGCTTGGCAATTGACTTACATTATGACAGTTGCAGTGTTCTGAGGTCACATGATCGCCTTCTGACAAGCAAAGTCAATGGGGAAGTCAGTTTCACTTAATGACTGTTACTAGCTTAACTAGTGATTCACTTAATTGTGGCAGGAAATGTTGTAAAATGGGGCAAAATTCATGTCTCGGTAACAGAAATTTTGGACTCAATTGAGGTCATAAGTCAAAGACTGCCTATATGGTAGATTTGTTAGGATGGGAATTAATTTGTTTGGGACAAAGAGTTTGATATTCGGAATTTATCTTCCAAATAAAAGCAAAGTATTGTTTTACAAGTAACTTATGGAGAGATAGTAGATGTTGTCTTACACCAAGGAAAGTATTTGTCAGGATGTGGTATTCTGAGCTTCCACAGTGAAAGACGAGGATCAGACTATTTCTCTCCAAGTTACATTTATTGTTTTATCTTAGTTTTATTTACCCATTTGGCCTCAGTCTCAGTGAAAATGTGGCAGCACATGTTTGTGGCCTCATAGTTTAGAGGAACCAAAACCTTGTGGCTTGAATATTTCACAACTAAACACCCATGTGCATCCTATTGAAATCTTTGAAAAACAGACTAAACTGGGACAAACAGCAATATTTTGCTGTCTTCATACTCAGATAAAGTGTGCAGG